AGCAAATTACACACAATACCTGTTGGTATCATTATAAATTTGGAAAAAATGCAAGGAAGTGCACTGAACCATGCAATTTCAATTCGAAAACTTCTCACATTTCTACACAACACCAGGGAAACGACTATGCCAGCAGCAAGTAAAGACGACATTAGCTGCTGGATTAAAACAAGTGAGTCGTCTATTTTACATCCGGGACAGAAGTAACGGATATTTATTTTTAGTCGACACCGGCGCTCAGATCAGTGTTATCCCACCAAATACGAAACAAAAGCCTACATTCTCCACATACACATTACAGGCAGCAAATGGATCAAAGATAGGAACATACGGTGAGATATCACTAACGCTTGATTTGGGTCTAAGAAGATCTTTTCCATGGATTTTCACACAAGCAAATGTGAAAACACCTATCCTAGGTGCGGATTTCCTATCCCATTTCGATTTATCAGTGAATATGGCTACAAACTCTCTCATTGACAGTAACAGAAACCTAAGAACAAAGGGAATCACCTCAATCTACAAGTCAACAGGAATTAGTTCAGCAATACCAACGGCTAATGGCCTACATGAATTGATAAAAAAATTTCCTACACTAACCACGCCTTTAACACATACAGATGAAATCCGTCATACTGCTAAACATTATATCACCACAGCTGGACCACGGAGATCACCACGAAGATTACATCCGGATAAATATAAAATAGCAAAAGACGAATATCAACATATGTTGCAGTTAGGAATCATACGTCCTTCAAATAGCCCATACTCCTCTCCGCTACATATGGTTTCGAAACCAGAAGCTGGCGCATGGCGACCTTGTGGGGATTTTAGGAATCTCAATGCAAAAACTGTTCCTGATAGATATCCTATACCGCACTTACATGATTTCGCCAAAGGTTTGCAAGGAACCACAGTTTTTACAAAATTGGATTTGGTTAAGGCGTACTACCAAATTCCATTAGCAGAAGAAGACATAAAGAAAACTGCAATTACCACTCCTTTTGGACTCTATGAATTCACCAGGATGCCATTTGGTTTACGTAATGCCGCCCAAACCTTTCAAAGACTCATTGATGAAGTTTTGAGAGGATTGCCTTTTACCTTTGCATATATCGATGACGTGCTTATCGCCAGTCGTGATGGAAAAGAACACCTATACCATATTCAACAAGTCTTCGAGAGACTGGCACATTTTGGCTTAAAGATAAATGCCCACAAATGCGATTTTGCTGTTTCAAAGTTAAATTTCTTGGGCCATGTGATCGACAAAAACGGAATCACACCTGTCCCAGAGAAAGTAGCAGCAATACAAAACTTTCAGCAACCGACATCACTGCGTCAATTAAGACGATTTCTCGGTTTAATAAATTACTACCGTAGATTTATTCCAGGTTGTTCCAGAATTTTGACCCCACTCACAAACTTGCTGCAAAAACAGAAGAAGAAAAATGCAAAAATACTGATTGACGGAGAAGCATTAGCTGCATTTCAAAATGCTAAAAAAGCGTTAGCAGATTTTACCAAGCTCTCTTACATCAGTGACGATGCTAACTCAACACTTACATTGACAACAGACGCCTCAAGAGATTCAATTGGAGCAGTTCTACATCAGAAGCTAAATGGTTCAGAAAAGCCAATCTCCTTTTTCTCGGTCAAATTAAACAAAGCACAGCAGAAGTACAGTACCTTCTCGAGAGAGTTACTAGCTATTTACTTAGCAATAAGGCATTTTCGACATCTGCTCGAGGGACGAAACTTTACTGTTTTCACAGACCACAAACCCCTCACTTACGCTTTACATGTGAACACAGATAAATACACACCCAGAGATACCCGACAACTGGACTACATATCCCAATTTACATCGGATATCTGCTATATTAAAGGTTCAGACAATATCGTGGCAGATACACTCTCGCGCTCCACGATACAATCCATCGATTCTGAAACCCTTACCTTCGACCTCATTGCAGATGAACAAAAGGAAGATAGCACATTATACAAAATAAAAGAGGACACTTCTTTACAATTGAAGGAACACCCCGTCCCATTTGGAACAAAAACACTACTCTGTGACGTTGGGACTGGTTATTCAAGACCATATATTCCACCTTCATTGAGAAAAAAGATATTTCTGCATTTTCACAATCTCTCACATCCCAGTCACTGAGCAACTGACAAGTTGATTAGCAGTCGTTTTGTCTGGCCAAACATGCATACTGACATAAAACGCTGGACTCAAACTTGTTTAAAGTGCTAAAAAGCAAAGTAAACAGACATACTAAGTCCCCCCCCCCTGGGCATTTTCTAAAACCAGATGGTAGATTCACGAATCTTCACATGGACATAGTGGGTCCCTTACCAGAAGTAAACGGACATAGTTACCTACTCACTATTATCGACCGATTCACAAGATGGCCTGTCATTGTTTCTCTAAGGGATATATCTGCAGAAACGATCTCTAAAATTATATTACATGAGTGGATTGCCGTTTTTGGTTGTCCCTCAGTAATAACTACAGACTGAGGTTCTCAGTTCCAATCTACGCTCTTTGATGAGTTCACAAAACTATGGGGAGTTAAGCATATAACAACAACGGCTTATCACCCATGTGCCAATGGCTTAATTGAACGTTTCCACAGGCAACTTAAGACAGCATTAACTGCAAATAATGATTCTAAGACGTGGTTAGAAAATCTACCGCTAATATTACTATCCATTCAAAATGTAATCAAAGAAGATTTAAGATGTACAGCATCCAAAATGGTTTTTGGAATGTCCTTGACGTTACCAGGACAGTTTTGTGATAAATCCAGTCAACTCCAACCAACTACATCTTTTGTACAAAGATTTAAGCAAAGAATGAATGAACTAGTTTTCACACCCACTAGAACACAAACAAAAGATCTTTACACTCCAAAAGACCTCCACAATTGTGAATATGTTTTCGTACGAAACGACACAGTAAAAAGGCCTCTTTGCCCTACTTATACGGGACCTTTCCAAGTAGTCAACAGAAAACCCAAATATTTCACAATTGTAGACAAAAGGCAAGCAAGACACTGTCTCTATAGACAGACTAAAACCAGTGTACTTGGATTTACCTACAAAGGAAAGTACGTCAGAACATTCTAAAGCCGAGACAAATACCAACGTAAGTGAAACATTTTCTACACCTCCAAACACGCCTAAAAACATTACCACAAGATCGGGTAGACACGTACACTGGCCTACTCATTTTAAAACATATATTAGATATTGAAAAAATTTTCAATATTTATCAATCTGGAAGGGGTTTAATGATACAAATCCTATATTCCAACAAATGACTAAAAAAAACAAAGTAGATTTGCACACCCGCAAAATCGGATCAGAACGATCAAAAAAACAGATTTCACAATAAGGTGTGAAATTAATTTTCGGACCAATGAAAGGAGGCGATTTGCTAAACCAAAAAAAAAAAAAAAAAAAGTTAACGAGCCAGTGTGAAAAAAAAGTCAACAATAAATACAGAGTTTTCAAGTCAGTCGCTAGTCAGTCAGTCAGAGAAGGGCGCAAAAGATCACAGAAGATTGACAGTAAATTCCATCACTGACTCAACCCGAAAAGTGGATTAGGAAGAACAACAACAACAACAACAACAACAAATTTACAACTGGCTTCAAAACAATTCATAAGTACATTTTCCTTTCATCTTTATTCCACATCCACACTCTTTTTTTAACTTAAATTGCTCGCCCATTTTTTTTCATTTTACAACTATACAAAAACAAAAGAAACAGACATTATTCTGCTACTCTGTTAAAAGACAGCGAACACAGACATTTTTATCAAAATCACAATTTTGCTTAAATGAACTAAAACATTAATCCTTTTTACCCTATTCACAAGATAATAAATATACAATGTTCTATTTTTTATAAACGTTCCTTATCGTGTTGTTTCTTCTTGAAATTTGAGTATTCCTTATTAAATTCTCCTTTAATCCGGGTACGCTGAACCTCACAAATGTATTAACAAAAAGATTTTGTTATAAAAAAGTAGAGAGTACTGAACTGTTATGTAACATCAGTTCTCCTATATGGTAATGAATGCTGAATACAGATGAAGACAAGACTTGAAGCAACAGAAATTTGGTTATATAGAATGCGGAGAATATCATGGACCAAACATGTTAGCAGTGACAAAGTTTTAGAAAAAATGAAAATGAAAAAGACACTTATACTTAACATCAAGAAGAGAAAGTTGAAATTTCTAGAGCACTAATGAGGAAAGAGGGATTTGGAAAATTTGATACTCACAGGTCAAACTGAAGGCAAGAGGGACAGAGGAAAACAACACATAATCTACCTAGTGAGTTTGAGCAAATGGATGGCAGAGAAAGACTTAGGGGAGATAACAATAAAACTTTAAGACAAATTTATAAAGGACATGAAATTGTGGAAAGCCATGATTGTCTACATACTGAAGGACCATAGAAGAAAAAGTCAGCCACTGTGCTGTGACCAGATCAATGTTTTCTATCAGATATTGCTGGTACACACATGGCATTCTGGATTAAGGGATGATAAATATCCTTACAATTTCAGAATTTCAATGTCCCATCTGTCTGGTAACTATCATCATATTCTAATCAAAATAATTCACATCAGCAGCCTAGCTAGTGTTCATACAGACTTGCCAGATATCAGTGTACCACTGATATAGGTTTGTATATTTCAATGATGTCAACATATGGTGGTGCCACCAACTATTACCTTTATATACTGTCTACCTTCATGACTTTATGTACATCAGTGCAGCTACTTATTGACCTAGATAAAGATAAAACTATTTATCAATTGTTTGCAAAACCAGAATCAAATATCCTTATATTAATCATATTTCTTTAAAATATTTTTCCAAGTTCACATGTTAAATAAAACAAAATTTGAAAACTAGAAACTCTTCAACTATTTTAAAAAATTATAATCTGCTAAATGAATTTTACTCACTTGCAATGTATCCTGGGCTTCTTTCAGTTTCTGAATAAGTGTAGCTCTACGATTTTCACTCTCAGCTAAACATTCTTTCAGTTCTTTCATAATTGGATCTGTGTTTTGGAATGCACTGAAGCTGTTGTTGAGAATTTCACTATTTTGGTCAATTTGCTGACCCACGTGCAATTGACTTAGTGAATGGGATCTCATCAACGATCTTTGATTGAATGTCTCCTTTTGGCTGTATGTGTTACTTTTGTTTTGTAAACTTGACCTAAGCAAAAAAAAAAAAAATACATAATAAATAAAACAATTTTTCAATGTATCACATATTGAATGAATTGTTTTAAAAATATTTGAGATGCATAAGCCCTTTCAATATTGTTGGATTTGTATTAAAAGAAAACAGACTCCCTTTGAAATTTACTTGAGGACATCCCAAATGAGACCTATTCAGGGAATATGAGGATGGGCTGAAAAGTTATGATAGAGCTATGTGAAATCTTGCATGCATTAATTTCAACTCATCTTATTAATAACAATTGTTTCTTTCCAGGTAAACTGACATCTGATCATCATGACATTGAGATCATCACTTTAAACACCAGCTCCCACCTGCTCCAAATAAGGCCAATACTGTTTCATCTGCAAGAAAGGTAATGATCTCAGTTTTTTGAGATGCAAAAGGCATTATGTTTATTGACTATCTTCAAAACAGCCACATCATCAATTGAGAGTACAATGCCAAATTACTGAGGTAGTTATGAAAGGCTATCAAGAAAAGACACCCAGAAAAACCGATGAAATAAGTGTTGTTTCATCAAGACAATGCCCCAGCACACAAGTCCTTGGTTTCAACAGCTGCTGTGCATTATTGTGGCTTTGAACTGGTTGATCACTTTCCATATTTTCCTCATCTGACTATCATCTATTCCTGAACATGAAAAAACACTTGGCTGGGAATCAGTATTGCAGTGATGATGACATCATCTACTGTTGATGACTTTTTTGACCAACAGGTGAAAATTTCTTTACCAATGAGATCCAAGCACTGTAACATGGATTGAATAAGTATGTGGACTTCAAGGGGACCTATGTTGAAAAATAAACCTCATTTGGTCACATTCTGTGTGGGTATCTTGGTCAGCCTATGAACTTTTCAGTTGACTCTCATATATTCACCAGATTATAAATTTTTACAAAGCTTATCTTTTCAAGACAATTGCACCGATTATGTTCAATGTTGAATTTTTTGTAAAAGATATTCATAAATTATGCAAAGCTCAAAATTATTTTTTTAACTTAATTCACACAGGACCAACTCACAGTAGAAGGTTACTGATTGAGAGAAGGGAAAGTAAGAAGTAAGACATACATATGAGAACATGTAGTATAGATATCAGTTGACGCTGGTCGTGAAGAGAACAAGATTGTAGTTGTCAAGGAAACATCCTCTCAGAAGTCTGTTCCACACAGCAACAATTCTGAGTGGAACTTACTCCTTACCAAAGGAAGATGAAGGGAATGGGAATGACTTGTCACTGTAAACATGGTATGGCAGGTCCTACCTGTGATGATCTAAGTTGGTAGAACTAAGTAACTTGTTTGAACATTTGCTATATTAATAGTGATAGAGTAGTGAGAGGTTAGTAACAGTTCATCTGTGAGGTAAGTGTTGCAAAGTGGGGAATAACTCACCACATACAAGACTGCATAAGCACTTCTCAATTGTCAAGTTTGGACAGTGAAGACTGGGAAGCACTGACTCAGATTTAGCAGTAATATTCGATTCTTGTTCTGATATGATTTTTATAAAGTAGAGCAGCAAGAGTTTAGATAATTTCTGGAGCAATACAAGGAATCAACTATTCTTCCAGCATTTTTTGCAATGGCACAAATTTGATTTAAGATCAAGTAGGCATTCCAAGATAGGACCCTCTTTAAGGGTATGGCCAATCATCAAGATTAGTGCTGAAATGTTACTAGTTTTGTTTTGGATGTATTGAATGATACCAGCCAGTTTCCCCACCCCCCATTGAGCTTGTTAGAGCTAGGTCAAAGGAGAGATCAGCTGCCAGGCTCTGATCATCCAGATATTTGGAGGTGCAAACATACACCATAATATCATCCACATATATATTTACTAAGAATAAATATATATGTGGATGATAAAGCAAAAACAGAGTAGGTCTGATGAGTGAGCCTTCGGGGATATATCATTGATCTCATCTACCTCAGTATTTGTCATTAATAGCAACCTTCATAGACCTACCTGACAGGAAAGACTTGATAACTGAGAGTATTTGTCAGAGATTCCACAGCTGACACATCTGTGTAGCAATCTCCTGTGCCACACCTTCAAGATATTTAGGGTGATCAAACTCAAGAGTTAAGACATCAGCAGTGAGCATAGAAAAGTGAAAACCATACTATTCCTATACCCACCTGCACACAATAGAAATCTTTTATGGGCTTGAGAAATATTTCTTCTTAAGGCAGTAGTTAAACAGTTTCACCAAGCTTGGAAACATTCGTGGGATAAGGTCCTTGAGAACAATTATAGGGATTTTATCAGGACCAGTATTCTTTGTAAAGTCATGACTTTTGATTTGGAAACCTCCTGAACCAATATACTTATCACAAAGCTTGTGCTCTGTAAGATAGTAGAAATCAGGTAAAGAATGGTCTTTGTCATCTAACCTAGAGGCAAAGTTCTTAGCTGTTCTTTATATTTTCCAGTGATTGTGTGCAGTTCTGAATGAGGCAAGGTAGAGTGATTACAGTGGGTCTGGTGTGAACCATGGCTGACTATTTGGCTTTTGTTGTTATTTTTTGTGAGAGATAAAGCTTTCTATACTGGAGAGAATCTGCTTGGAATTGAAAGAGTCTGTCCTGGAAGGTCTGTTTTAGAGGTGCTTCTACAATGTAGGATCTGAGACTGCCCCAGTCAGTTTTATTAAATCAATTGATTGTCCTATAAAGCTGCACATTGTTATAAAATAAAATAAGACATATCTCGGCTGATTTACAGGCAAATAAACTAAAATACTCATGAGCGAGAGCCGGATGTGAACGGGACAAGGCCCCGTCACAAAATGACCATTATCTTCATTTACACATGTTCCCGACGTACGAGTTCCGGTCGAAAAATAAAATAATATTTTAAAGTGTTTCTATTTTTCGACCAATAACAATGCTTCCCTCCTAATTATACTCGCGTCGTTTTTCGAATCTGTTAAGCCATTAAAAAAACGCCATAAAAGGGGTCACACGGAAGTACAACAGGCAGTCAACAGGAGGCCAGGGAAGAGACCTGTCACGGTCAGACTGAGCGGTCAGCAGCAGTCAGCAGGGGGAGCGCCAGCGCCAACCGGTGTGAACTACTATGACAGACTCCGTGGGTCGACTCGAAAACACCCTTAGAGAGGCAGCCGTCCACATAAAAAACAAATACAAAAAAGACAAAAATACAGACCTAACAGTCGATGGACTTATTTCCATCATCGGCGCTATGCTAATGAGTGAAAAGGTGAAAATTTGGGACTCAAATCTTTACCTACATCTCGTCAAGACAATGGACAACCACTATTCAGCCATTGGCATAGCCTCCGAAGCTCAAAGATACCTTGATCGCGGTGTAAAATCCAACGACACAACTTCGCACAACACTGTGTATTTCACACAGAAACCACAGAAACCAAAGAAACGCGCCACTCCGACCCAGCAGGCAACCAAACCCACAGCAGACGGGCTTCACCAACCCTCCCGAACATGGCCACCATCCGACACGCAGAAACCATCAGCACACACCACGAATCAGCGTGTGCAAGAACTACCTCAGAGGTCGCCCCTGCCACCATGGACGCAACTGCCTATATCACCACCCACCTCACACTCGGGCACAGTCCCATATCGCCGCAACGAATGATAATATACAAGCCATAAATGATGTGGAACAGGATTTTCGCTTCGGGCAGGATGAGATGTGGTGCCTCGTTCACCGTGCCCCTACGTCAGCCATCACACCTTCAACCTTCAAGGACTCGCTCACCATTCACCGCTTGTCCAGTCCACCTTCATTTCAGGAACATCACCTTCTCTGGCGTCGCAATGCTAGACTCTGGATGCTCCACATGCATCTTACCAATATCTCAGTTACCCAGAGAAGCCAAGAAACACATGACCCGCTCCGACGTCGTAGTAAAAGGAATCAACGGTAGCACCACCGCCCTTGGCGAACTGACTTGCGACATCACCATCGGCAGTCGAGACTCACCCACATTCAAAAAGGTTAACGTGCTGGTAACTACCCAAACCACACCGATCCTGATCGGCCAAAATATCCTATATCACAACACGCTCGATTCCTATCTAATCGACAACCAAAATGCGACTATAGAATTCCGACGCACACTTTCCTCAGGATATACAACACACACAGCCGCAATCATATCACCGTCATCGTCAACCAACGATCCAGCATATGGCGCCCAAGCTGACGTCATCCAAAACCAGCCTACTATGGAACTACAGCCCAACATCCAGACACTGGATCAAAAGCTAACCTGGCATAACACGGGGCTATCGCTACCAAACCACCCGAACTGAGACGAACTAGAGGCCACTGCAAACTTACTCATTCGATACGCTGACATTATCGGCACCGAAAGCAGCAGCAAAGGCAAATTCATCCGACCCATCTGCATACCAACCAACGGCCAGTCTTGCAGCCAGAAACAACACCCAATAGCCCAGGCTTTGGAAGCAGACGTTGATACCGAAATTAAGCGCATGGCCGATGAAGGTATCATTGAAAACTGCAGCGACCCCAAAGGCTTCAATAGCCCTGTATTTGCCGTACGCAAGAAAAACGGATCGATTCGCGTCGTCGCTAACTTTAAAAAGAACTCTCAACAAGTCGATCTAGACCTTTACCCAATGCCAAGGTTCGACCACTTGTTCAACAAAATCGGCAAAGGCAATAGATATTTCACTACCCTTGATCTACGCAGCGGCTACTGGCAAATTGAGATCGACAAGCGAGACCGATACAAAACAGCATTTACATGGAAGGACCAATGCTATCAATACACGCGCCTGGCCTTCGGCCTTACATCTGCCGGACCAATCTTCTCTCGTTGCATAGCAGAAGCCCTATACACGGTCACATCCCGTGACAACATTTCTTCCTATATCGACAACCTGGTCCACGCTAGGACATTTAGGGAGTACATACTCTCCCTCGAACAATTTTTTACTGCCCTCCGAAAATTCGGACTCAAGCTGAATCCAGATAAATGTTCCTTCCTCGCATCAGAGGCAAAATTCCTCGGACGCATAGTAAACAGCGAAGGTTTCAAGGCTGATCCAGAATACGTTCGTGCCATCAGGGAAATGAAACCCCCAACATCAAAAAAGGAATTATAAAGCATTATCGGCCGTTTAGTGTGGATCAGACAATTCCTAGAGACACGACTTCACGAACAAATCAGGTCAGATATGTTTTCAAAACTTATGGGTCCCATACACGAACTCAACAAGGTTAATAAACCGTTTATCTGAACGCAAAATGCCGACAGAGCCTTCAAAAAAATCAAGGACCGTCTCTCTTCGCCACCCGTCATCTCGTTTTCGGATTTCTCCAAACTTTTCACACTCACCACCGACGCCAGTGACGTCGCATGTGGAGCAATCTTAATGCAAGAAGCCGACAAGAAGAAGAAAGATATCATATCGGTCGCTTCCCATACATTCAACTCCACAGAACAGAACTGGTCCACGACGGAACGAGAGGCATATGCAATAAAGTGGGCAATATTGAAATTTGATTATTTCCTTTGCAACCGCCCCTTCGTCATCTTCACCGACCACAGATCGCTGACATATCTGGACCAACGAGAGTTCAATAATGCCAAAATACGACGATGGCAAGAAGAAATTTCATGTTATAAATTCGTCTATGTATAGGATGACATGCTCAGCAGAGGTTGCGGACATAAGAAAACGAAGCCCCGAACGACCCTCCAAGGGCAGGCAGGACATTCGAGGTAAGCGGTTCAGACCTCTGCGTATACATCCCATCTTGGTGCCTCGGCGAGTTTAACGGTTTACAGCTCATTCCCAAAACTCACACACCAAAAAACGCCCGCACCCACAAGCGCATCACCAACGCATTCTTCGCCTATCACTCCACCACCACCATCCCCACTGAGAGAATCTGCACCAATTTTTTCTAGAACCAGGCACCTCCGTTTTGATGATAAGAGACACTAAACACTCTCCGAGATTGGTTGTACCATACAAACTACGATCCAGATACCTCTACCAGGCACACGAGGGCAACAACCACTCAGGTGTTACCCGTATGCGAGAACTCCTTTCCAGATACTGGTGGGAATTCAAAAACCGCGACATCAAGGCCTATGTCGAGTCTTGCGACGTGTGCTAAGTGCAAGGGCAACTACGGTAGACGTACCCACTTGCCCATTGGCCACTGTAAACGACGAAAGAGACTATTCGATCTCGTCTTTATAGATTTTGTCACAATGCCCAACTCAAAGGGAAAACGCTACATCCTAACCATCTTGGATAGCTTCAGCTAACACTTTACAGCCATACCATGCGCGAGAGACCGTGCTACCGACGCTGCCCGCGGATTGTACCATTTCTTCCTTCGACACAGAGAGATTCCATGCATAGTATCCTCTGATTGAGGCACACACTTCACTGGAAAAGTCTATCGACAATTCTGTAACCAGATGTCAATCACGCAAGAACTTCACTGTACTTGGCGCCCGCAAAGCTCAGGAAATATCGAGAGACAATATCGCACGATGAAGAACGCACTTCATATGTTATGCGAAGACAGGAACTGTGAATGGACAGACATTCTAGAATCTGTCATTTCGTCCATGAATGCCACGACCAACAGCGCCACCGGTGTCTCCCCGCACTATGCCATTACTGGCTGTCACCCCAACATCGGCCTACCTACACTACACAGAAAAGAAATCACAAGTGACGATCCTGGAGCATATGGAATGCAAATTAATGCCCTGCTAAAGTAGGTTCACAACCACGTCACCCTGGCCAACAATGAAGCTGACCACAAACTCGAGACTAACTTAAATCGCCTCACATACAAGGACCCAATACAAGTAGGCGACAAGGTTTTACTTCATCGGCCACACTCAACTGTTGCCCAATCCTCTCATCTGCCCTGGATAGGAAATTACACCATTATAAAAACGAACAATATGATGTGTCAGGTGCAAAACGATAATGGTGATACAATCTGGATTCACCGTGCACATATTCGACAACTGGCTCCACGCCCAAAACATCTAATACAATCCCTCTGCCTCCACCATGTAACAGTCACCAGGATCATTCTCCTCCACATCCCTCTGGGACACATAATTCAGCAAATAACTCCATACCAAAACAAATGCCAATAAGAAGAACACGAGGACAACTTCCCACATGCTTCAGAGACTTTATCATGAATTAATCACCCAAATATACATGAATAACGCTCACTGTAAATCAGACCGATACCTGGGGGACCTTGTTATAAAATAAAATAAGACATATCTCGACTGATTTACAGGCAAATAAACTAACATACTCAAGAGTGAGAGCCGGATGTGAACTGGACAAGGCCCCGTCACAAAATGACCATTATCTTCATTTACACATGTTCCCGATGTACGAGTTCCGGACAAAAAATAAAATAATATTTTAAGGTGTTTCTATTTTTATAAAAATGCTTCCCTCCTAATTATACTCGCGTCGTTTTTCGAGCCTGTTAAGCCATAAAAAAAACGCCATAAAAGGGGTCACATGGAAGTACAAGGGGCAGTCAACAGGAGGCCAGGGAAGAGACCTGTCACGGTCAGGCTGAGCCGACAGCAGCAGTCAGCAGGGGGAGTGCCAGCGCCAACCAGTGTGAACTACTATAACTACTATAACCCAGATTCAAAGCCGGCTTATGAACTTTACCACAAGGTAGCTGTCCCAAACCCACACGTTCCTGTTGAAATAAATCACGTAAATCTATTTCTGCCGTTGTCATATTTCTTTCTTGCAACCATACGCTTGTCTATAACAACATCTAAGAAGGTCTTTAGTTTTATATCAATCTTGACATAAACTAAAGAATGCTCTGAGGTGCCCAAGAGAAGCAACACCTTTGCGGGACATTGATCACGGCATGAGGTGAGAAAAAGGTCTAATAGGTTTGCATGATATCCAGCTGTATTAAGAACTTTTACAATCTGAGTCAGCTCATAAGCTATGGAGAAATCATAACATTATTTCCCCTTATTTCTGCTTGAGTGGGCAAATTTGAATAGTAGCTGAGGGATAAACTGAGAGATCATCACTCTTCTTTGCTATTTTGTTAAACATTTGTAATATCGTGAGGGAAATAAACAGTGAAGACAAAGGACATGCTATGAATGAGGGCCACTCCAAAACACTCTGCCATAGGGAAACCCATCCTTGATATAGATTCCAAGCCCATGGCCATGTCTGTTTAGAGGGTGTTATTGTGAGTAGGGGTGAGTAGCCCAATATTATGAAGTCTTGAATTAGAATAAAGTGGTTGAGTTCTGTTTCAGATATGAACAAGATTTCAGTCTTGACCTCTTGATGGTTTAATTCAACCTCTGGATAGTCAGATTGTTAGTGTAAGAGATGGAGAAAGAGGTGTCTACTTTATGTATGGTTGGTGTGGATTAAAACAAAAAAAAATATTGCACACAAGTTTAAGCATCCACCCAGACTATGTAATTTTCTTTAATATTTAAAGACACCGAGAACTGAAAACTGTTTCTACTTATAAGATGCAACAATTTTATCATTTTCTCTTTGCCTTTTCTACTCAAATTGACAACATTTTGCATTGTGATACTTGTGTTAATTTTTTAGTTAATGTTACATTAAAATAATTTTTCTATTTTTCATGTATTTACAGTCTCTTATTTCTGTGGATTATATCAGGGTTTGGCAACCCTTGGCCCCTGGGTCACATCTAGCCTGGCAACTTAACACCTGGACACTAATTATATAATTAATTCATGGAGCAAGTGGCAGAAAAATATCAGTTGGAGTTAAATGAATTACGATGTAAAGCAATTTAAAAATCAAAATTTCATTCCAAATCCACTGCTGACAAGAAATATGTTTTGCCAAGTGGAAAATATAAAAGCTTATTGAATAATGTGAAAATGATGGTATCATTATTTGGAAGTACATATGCGTGTGAACAACTTTTTTTGAAAATGAAATATACTAAAAGACATTTAAAAACAAGGTAGGGTGATGACCATCTGAATGATGTTTTGCTCCTGTCTTTGACAAATATTTCACCTGATGTGGAGAAGTTATCGAATAATAATTAGAAACAAGTGTCTCATTAAATAATTTGCTATTTCTAACTGTACTTAGTTTGTAGTAAGGAATTTGCATTTTCTGTTGATTGTGTTAATTGTTATCTTGCTATTGCTGCAGTAAAATAAGGAACTATGTTTAAATAATATAACATTAACTTTGTTGTTTTTCAAACCTCCAGACCAAGGCAGCCTTCTGAACGGAGCTATTTGAAATCGAGACATTATAGTACATTTCATATCATGGCCCTTATCCAAGACACTGTATAGCTTTCTGGCCCATTCTCTCCAAAAAGTTGCCAACCCCTGGATTATATAAATCATCTCCATGGATTATTTGAGGGAGATTTTTACAACTTTTTTTTTCTGCTTTTCTGATCAATATAGTGCTAGAATTAGAATTATCTAAGAGCATTAGAAAAATATTCATAGCTACAACTAGAATTTGAACTCTGGTTTCTGCTGGCATTTTTTGAGTTGCTATTTACTATTATATAAATTTGTAGTATCATTATTTTTCCTTTAAATTCTTATTAGTAATATTTATCAGCAGATAATATTTAAAATGTAAACTTATAAGATATAGACAGAGCACCTGATATGTGAGATGTAAAATTTTCAAATCAAAGAAAATGCTTCTAAAATAAACTAACATCTTACCCAAATCCACTGTCTGAGTCTGCATTTGGTAGGGCAAGGTCATGCACTGCTATGATAGGATTATGCTCCTGGTAAGAATGCCTGCAAGACAAATTTCTGTAACTCTGGTGACGATGTCGTTTATTGTTGCTGTTATACATCTTTTAATAACCAGGTGCTATACAACCACAAAAATAAGAAACAATTTTACAAAAGTGTAAAAACATTTTCAAATAAGAGTTTGTTTAACAAGATTGATATTTATTTTTTATATTTTGGTCAATACATTTTCTGAAAGAAATACAAATTGATTATGAAATAAAATCTTGATATGCTTATTGCATATCCAAATTTATATAACAAATCTATATCTATAAATGGCAATTTCTGTCTGTTTGTCTGAATCTAGTTGCTGCCTAAACCTGTGAACCAATATTGATGAAACTTTTCATACATGTTAAACTAACATCCAATTTGTTACTAGGCTAATTTTTTTTTTTATAAAAATCTATAATGAGACCACTTGGGCCCCTAGATTACAACAAAACACTTTTAACATGTTTATCACTGTGTTTAAGCAAGGTAGATAATTGGTTTTGCAAACTTTTTAGAAATTAAGATACATGTGTTATGAAAAATTAACTGTTATAAAGCTTAAAATTCTAGACAGATATGGATCTTTGTTTGATTTTTAAAAATTAGCGGACAACATCTGAACAAATTGCAGGTTATGTTCAAAATAAAATCTTTATTTAACATATTAATTCAGCATAATCTTTCTTTGGATACAATCACCTTGGTGTTTTTACATTGCAAAAATATAATTTGAGGTGATTTCTTTAAAAATAAATATAATTACACTTCATTAGTGTTTCTTCTTGCTGGGTCTTATATACATGGTTCACTATGTTTAGCATTTAATTTAATATGGAATTAATTTCTTTCAAATTTCACCATGTGCATCATTAAATTTGCCAGGTTCAAATTTATTAAATACAAAGAAATTGGTTTGATCCATGTGGCCATTTAAACATAAAATAGCATTTAAATTGGGATTATTTGTGAATAGAAACTTTGCCTAAGCTCATATTTCAACCTATACTTAAAAAAGCATATTGTGGTTGTAGTTGTTGTCTGTCGAGTAACAACCTTTTTGAAGGACACTTTTGTGCTATATACCATCTGTGTAAAAAAAAGGTCTAGCTGTGGAAATAGACATCCTTCTTAAAAAAAATCCAAAAATCCTTAATCAGCATGAGCCATGTACCCTTCCCCATTAAGTTTTACTTTTAATTATGGCAGTTTATTCAGACAATAGAATTTTTGAATAGCCTAACACCAGCTGGCCACCCACCTCACAATTTGCATGTCAAGATTGAAGCACCAGTGATGCTGCTATCCACGGAAGCTTTGCAATGGCTTACAAATTAAGAAGATGATGCCAACAGTCTTTCAGATGACAATTCTGACTGCCAAAGCAAGTGGTGAGGCTGTATTTATTCCTAAAATTCTACTTATTCTCTCAGATATGTCTTTACTGTTCAAACAGCTGCAATTCCCAGTGAAATTGAGTTTTGCAATTGGCATTAACAAAGCTCAGGGGTGTCCTTGGATGTGGTAAGCCTTAATCTTGGAGTTTTCTTCCATGGCCAACTTTATGTGGGATGTTCAAGAGTCAGCAATCCCAATCATTTGTTTATTTACACTCCACATGGAAAGACCAAAAATTTTGACAAGAAATATCCAGTCATCAGGTATTTATGATGTAACTGTACTATTTGTCAGTGTTGTAAATTTTTTGTAAATCTATGTTATTCTGTTTGTAAATATATATATATCAATCTGTTTGCAGGTGTATTGTGAAACTATATGTCAGTCTATTTGTAAATCTATTGTAAATTTATTTTAATACTACCCCTCCTAAGGGCTATATTCTCTGTGAATGCCCAAAAACCCTTTTCAGTGATACTTACTTTGAATTGTTATTTTCAGATGACCGAAGAAAGGATATGAGAATGAGAACTGGGGATAACATTCGCTTTTCCAGGAATTATTGGGTACCTCAGCTAGTGATAGATAAATTGATTATATAAATAGATACAATATTTTTCCACATTTTAAATCATCCCAGTGTATATATGTGATACTACTTCTTGGCATAGCTTTATGAATAAAAATCTGGGAAAGGGGCTCTCCACATTGACTTGCAAACTTGCTGATGGCTGACCCATTCAATGCATAAGAAGCATATCTGGCCAGTGATTACAGCGGAAGGTTTGGTTTGGAGTTAGTGCTGTGTTTTCTTCTTTTTCCTCTTGCTCCTCAGGTCGGCTCTGTTCATTCTTGGAGGAGTAGACAGCTCAATGGCTAGTGATTCAACTGGTCTACTGGACTGTATCTAGGTCAGACCACTGGTGATGATCAATGTGACAAATCCTGAGTGATTACTTTATATAGTCTTTGTATCTTTTTGGGGGCATCCCACTGTTAAGATATCTAGTGAAGAGTTCACTGTACAGCACAATTTTGAGCATTTGTCAGTCTTTCTTCCTGGAGTTATCTCCTACCCATTGTAGTTGCATTTTCAATGACGTGGCCTCAATGCAAGTGACTTGTAACTGTTTTCAGACTTCAATGGAGATGAAGTTACTCCAGTGAGTGTTGAGGATTTTGAATATGCAAAGAATCTCAGGTGGTGACAATAGGTGACCCAAGCTGTACAGGAGGGTTGTCAGTACAACAGCTCTGCATACACTGACCTTAGTGTTTGTTTTAGATGCATTTATATAATCTACGAAATGCACAATTTCCTTTTACCAGTCTGCTTTTGATCTCTTTGTTGATTTTGACATCTGATGAAATGATGCATCCTAGGGAGCTCAACTGATGCACTGTTTTCAGTTCAGTCTTGTGTGGATAGTGGTATTCTTCCTGAAGTACAGGCTGAAGAGTTGAGCAGCCTGTATGAAGTAAGATATTATATGCTGTAGAGCTAGGACTGTCTCTGTGTGATCAAAAAGATCAACTTTATCAGCAAAGGGCAGCTCATGGATGAGCTAATTTAAAACATTATGATTATAAACTGCAGATTAAAGCAATATGTCAGTAGGTAGGAAATAAGTAAAATTAAGTTACACAAATAGATTAAGTATAATTACTGGAAAATCTTGTCCTCAAATGGCAAATAAGTGAAGAGATCTTAACATTTTCTTAAATTTTCTTCTTTATATTAACTCATTTAATAAACTCACTGATAGTTTGTAAAGTAATTTCCCATATGATTCTAGAGACAATAATTTTCTTAGCTATTCATCAGAACATCCACATTTAAAATGTCATTGATGATTAGGCTTACTCTATGTCCTCATTTAACTGGCACTGTCCCAGTGTTCCATGAGTATATCTTTTCTTTGTGTCAGTCCTGAAGCTTAATGGGTCATGAAAACACTTTATACAAGAACCTAAAAATAGAATAAAAATTGAAAACTGTCATGGCTTGTGATTTGGAAATTATGGTAAGCCATAAGGGATAGTTTACATTTTTAGTTAAATTTTTACATGCACGCACACACACACACACACACAGACATGTGTATGCATGTGTGTGTGTGTGTAAAAATTTTAATATTCCACTAAATATAACATTTAAAGTAATAAATATACAAAAGTATTCTCAGTCTAATTGACAAGTCATTACAAAAAATTAAGGTGTTTGATCAGATTTAATGAAGTGGGTTGGGCCAAAAACTTTTCAGCACCCCATATATAAAAAATCAAAAAAGATATTGTTAATTAAGAACAATTATATCATATTTTATTACTAGCTTTTTATGCATTTTATGATACCTTCAGTATAATTTATTAAACAAATGCATAAAATCTTTGATTTGCTTGAATTATCACATACAATAATAGCAAATATAAAAACATGTAAAAAGTAAGCAGAAACTACAATTTTTGCATGAGTTTAATGTGTGAAGAAATATAATAAATATAATATTAATAATTAAATTGTCAAATCTTTTGTGCCTCTGAAAAAGATTAAATTACTCTAAACTTCTTGTAAAACTGTTGTTCTCCATTACATCTATGTTTTGTATGTTTCTCCAATTAACTTATGCTACTCTAAATAAATTAATGAAAGTGAAAATGCAATTACTGCATAATTATCAGGTTATTTACTCAAAGCAATCCATGAAAATCATTCAACTATGAATGAATGAAATTCAACAGTAATACCAAAAAGTAAATTTGTTTAAACAAGTTTTGACACTTAGCATTTAATTCAAGCATTACTGACTGATAGAAAAGAGTTATTTACATGGTTCATTTTTAAAAACTTAATAAAAATTTATGAAAAAAATACTGATACATTACAATTTCAAATGGAAAATATATGTAGTTTGTAGTAATTTATGACTTTCATGTTAAAGAAAAATGAATGCAGATAATAAAGACAGATGGGATTTAGCATGATGCTAAATGATAATGATTGTAGTCATTGTTTATGATGTTTAGATTATGGTCTTTTACTGAGGCTACAAATCTTTACTTGCTATTGAATTGCTTTTTGTAAGTTAAATAATTTGGGGGGAAATATGTATGACAAAGTGGAAAAGGTTTTCGTGTGACACATTTTGTCCTTTAGGACTTCATTGAACTAAGTTAAATAATATACATAGCAAACAGGAAAAGAAAGAACCTTGTAAGCTGCAGAAAGTTGCATTCATCAACACTGAAACTGATGACCAGCATCATTTATTTAAATCCAGTAAAATCTGATACGAGGCTATAATTTGATGAAGATATGATGTTACTATATTTAGAGTAGATAAACCTGCTTTGAAATTTTGTATTCAGAATGTTGTTTATATTTGGATACCATTTGCTGGTGTCTAATTTGCCATTCATTTTCACCTTGAAGCAAATTCACATGTTTATTATGCTCACATTAATATATAGTGATAATTGATCTACCTTAATATTGTAATTACACAGCAGAAAAGTTTATCAATTAGGCACTTTGAAAACAAAGGCTGAAGAATATGCCTGTAGTTAATTAATATTTGATTTATAATTATGATACATAGATAATTTCATTACTGATTGCACTCTTCCCACTTCTTGAAGGTTGACTATTGAGTTTAACATCATTTATTGG